TACGCATGCCATCCCGCAGGTCATTCCACAGTCTTGGGGCAACAGATGAAAAGGACTTCACTTTTTATTTCATTATGTAAGCACAAATAGTGACACAAGTGCCCCTGAGACTGATACCTACTTCCTTTCTTTTATACAAACAAATAGTTTAAGCATGTAGCAAATAATGCTAGCTCAAGATAGTGACAAATCTTGGTGCATTAAATTGCCAATGCTAAGAGCACAAAGTTCTGTCTCCATGACCAGATTCATGAGGAGGCTCTTTCATTTTGTAAGAATCCCCTTGTCTCCCATGGGCCATTTAGTGATGCTTAAGGAACTAACATAGCTTACTATCTACTAGCAAAGAATTAAAGAATCCAAAAAGAAACAGCTGTCTGTTTAAAAGAGTCACTAGCATGACTGGGGCAGTCTTTTAAATCATTTTGCAAATAGACCATGATATACAAGTAGTAAAAGGTGCTATGGTTTACTTGCAAAGTTAATTATGAAACTGCTACAGGAATGCTATTTTGAAGGCTTCTGAGGGATGGAATTTGCTTCCCTTTTTTTGACCAGAGGAAGGCTGGAACATTTAAGGGTTGCAAAATAGCCTTGAGCACAACAGTGCAGCAAAGCAGCCTTGGGAGCGAGCCACTTTGCCTCTTCCTAAGATTGTGTATTCCTGCATGTGCTTGTCTTTGCCTGCTGCCATTCCAGTAATACAGCAGAGGGAGGAGGCACACTAGTTCAGCATTGCTGAAGGATACTTTGTTTTTCCTCTTCTTTCTCTATCCCTTTGCCTTTCATGTTTGGTTTTGTTAAGGCTAAAGGCATACAGTCATGGAATATAGTCCTAACAAGGGGCTTTCCATGTCCCTCAATATACTGCTGGAAGACATAATTACTGGATTGCAATGAAGGCCTCAAGCCAATTTCCAAAAAACTCAAATTTCTCCCTTCAATATACTTTGTATTCTTTCCTAAGAACATGTCTTCTTCTTTTAGTGGGCTTGCCTGAAAATCCTTTGGGTGCTAACATTGTGTGACCCAACAAGAAGCCTCCATGAAGCTCTTCCTCCCTCTTGCCATGTTTTCATTCTCCTCACAGGTTGACTTGCCATATTTTGAGTGTCAGTGGATTGGGATAGTGGTGGGCATTTCCAAGTCACTTGTACTAATGCCAACAGACAGTCTTCTACATTGACAAGTGTCCCATATTTCTAATATGTTTTTTGTCACAGACTTGGAAAATGCACAAATAAAGGCCATAAATTGGAGATACAAGAAGCATGGTATTACAATCATTTTATATACATCAAATGATTTCCATGATTTTCCCTACCTTTTCCCCAAAGCTGGTAAAAATGTTTAAACCATACATGAAATGGATATTTTTTAAAAACCTTCCAAGCTCTTCTCTAGAAGCTGAGTTGAAGAAAGACACTTTTTTAAAGCACAGTTTGCTGAATACCCAACATGGCCAGTGATTATTTCCTTGTGAGATTGTGAGTCCAGAAAAATAACTTACCAAAGCCTGTCCATATGAATAAACAAACCGTCTATTAGTCAGATCCGTGGTGTGTGGAAGATCCTCTATCTTTCCAAGTTGCTCTGACTGGTGGTGAAAATTGTAGAAGGCATCATTGGCAGGTGAGAAACGCCATCCAGTTCAGTTCTCAGTCTAATTAAGCTGCTTGTCTGTTGAATTTGAACAATGTTTAGATCACTTTGGATGAAAAGGCACCAGTAAAATGTTTCTTGTGGCTTGGCTTCTCTTTGGAGAAATAAGAGGACTGATCCCATTTGTCACATTTATTGTAACCACTATATAAGTCAGGATTTGGGCGTTCCCTCGGGTTAAGCCAGATCGGCCCTGTGTGGTGTTTAGCTGCCCTTGGGCTGATCCAAGTACACAGTGGATCAGATCAGTGTGGATGAACCCTATGACTTGTCCAAGGTCCCCTAGTAGATTTTCATGACTGAGTGGGAATTTGAACCTTGGTCCTCCAAAATCCTGATCCAACACTCAAACCACTATACATTAAATTGGTTCTTAATTGTTTTGTTGTTAGTGCAACTTATGGTGACCCTATTATGGTGATATTTTGATTAGGAGACCTTTCTTCATGAAACAATTTTTCGTAATGACTTAACTTGGCAAGCTTTTACATCTCCTGAAATTGTTTTCTTCCCTTTTGTCAACTCCTGTATTACCAATATATGACAATGCCTCTGATATTCATTTGTGTTCATAGTTTCTGTCATCTAGCCTAGAACTCGGAATTATTTCTCATTTGCCAGCATTGATGTTTTAAACAAGGCCTTGTGTTGATAAGCTGCAATGAAGGTGCTAGTTTATCTCATATAGAAATTTAGCTGAGGATAAAGGTTTCCTATTAATAACCTAGCATCAGGCTTCCTGTGAACTTGTGATACGCACATTATATTGAAATCCTACCATGTTCAGTTTGTTCAACTTTATAAGCTATGTGAGAGATATGCACCCGCATCCTTGCACTATTTCAGAATAATAGAAAGCATTATGTAGCAGTGTAAGGTTGCTTTCCCTCTTAATATCAGGAAGCATTCAAAAACAGATTGAAAACCAAACTTGTAGCTTGATACTATTTCACAAATATATGAAACATTTTACAATATAGTCTTACATAGATACATGCAATATTATATGCAGTTAAATTACCTAATCAGAGAAAGTATTGAGATGGAAATATCCTGAAAATGCTTTTCCCTTTGAGTGAAATCAAGGAAGACACCTGGATTTCTACTCTGCTTATATTACAGTTTGATTATGTTGTTATTGTGTGTGTGTGTTTCTGTTGTGTCGAAGGTGAACCACTTAAGCCCTTCCGCTGACCCGAGGATTGTCTGATGAAGCCTTAAAAATAAATGGTATTGAAGAATAGATTTTCTCATAATGCTAGGATGAAACTTATTTGTAACTTAAGGAACACAAAGAGAAATTAGATTAAGATTTAATTGGATTAAATCCTATAACATGTCAGATTTGTTTATAATTTACAATGACCATTGCCTTTTATGGCTTTTACTTTAAAAAATTGACCAAAAATAATGGATGTATTAGCCATGATGGTCAAATGAAATTTCCCATGTTAAAAAGCAATACACTTTGTTTTTTCATTTCTGGAAGCAGAATGTCCAAAGGCATTAAGAGTCTGTTGGAAACATAATACTATCCTAAATGAATTATGATCTGATACAGCAGAAGTGTTGTTATATTCTTCTGTTGCTCTTTACTGTATACTGACTTACCTAGCTATCCACACTATCAGGCATGTAGCTGGGGGGGCTTCAGCCCGCCCCCCCCCCGAAATTCTCATGGTGGTTCGCGAAAAGGCCTTACTGGTGCATTATTTAAACTGTTATGTTTATTCATATCATGATCTGATCACCATACTCAATATATCCCATATGCATGGGGGTATTGGGGTAATGATACAAAAGGTTTGCTAGGCTAGACCCTCTTTCACTCAGACTCAGCCCTCCCCCGAAACTCAGCCCCCCCGAAACCCCCCCTGAAATTTTTTTAGCCCCCCCCCCCCGGAAACGAAATCCTGGCTACGGGCCTGCACACTATCATGGTTTAAAATGATTCACTGTCTATACTATTTGACTGTATATTTATTTTATTTTAATAATAATTAAATTTCAGGGGTCCATAGGATTAAATAGAGGGTGTGGCAGTAAAGTAAATGAGATCATAAAAGGGGAAAGGTGTAAATCAATTTTTTGGATTACAAAGTATTGTGCCCCAGACAAAATGTCTACATGGAAATGGATTATCCCATGCAATTACACAGTGGAAGTGTACATTTGCCAGTTATGATTCTTTTTAGTCTAACTCTAGAAGTGAGGATGCCTGGTCCCCCATATTTAAATTGATGTGAGTTCTGAACTATCTTGATAAGCTTAGAGTCTTGAAGAATAAATAGCCAGAGAGTCCTCTTATGAAACCAGAGATCTTTATAACACGATCTAATAATTTACTGGCTCATTTAATTTCCTCATTGCCTCCTGCTGCTTTTATAACCCTTTAGTTTGGGCAACAACTTGCCCACCTGGCATTCCAATAAAAACCAATTCATTTGAATGCAACATTTAAATACTTGTTTAGTTATAATATCCTGGCAATATGAAATAAAGACTGTGCATGTGCCTTCAAGTCACTAGTCTACTCATGTCAACTCCAAAAAATTCATAGTTTTTCTAAAGCAAGGAATATTCAGAGGTGGTTTTGCTGGTTCATTCCACTTAAATGTAGCCTGCAGCACTTGGTATTCATTGGTGATCTCTCGTCCAACCAGGGCTTAGGGTCCAGTGTCAGATAGAATCTGGTGCCTTTAGGCTATTTTGTGTCACAGTATTATCTCTTTGCAAACCTCTGTTCACCTTTCACTTTTCTTTAGATGTTCCAAAGTTCTGTCAACTCTGTGTAACTCTAAACTCATTCCATTTTGTCAATATTTGAAATGACTGTAGATAATCCTACTGTAGCTGTTTGGCCCTGTCTACAACAGGCAATGCAACTGCAACTATCTCCAGAATCTCCTATTGACTATGCATTCACAGTTGAATAGAGGCCAGAATTGACCTTGAGAGTTGAGATCTTCACAAGTGGTATCTGCAGGAAATAGAATTGAGCAGTTCTGAAATATCTGTATTCAGTAAAGGGTTGCTATTCCTACATAAAGAACACAGCAAAGTGACCATTGTGACCATTGTGCATCAGCCACAAGTGCACAATGAGCAGTGATGCCCCTTGATGTCCATTCAGATACTGGCTAGAGAGTGTTAATGTGCATCAATAGATCAGACCTCAGTTCAGCTCATTTTTTTTAGGGCAATAGGAATCATGTGGAAAAACAAGTTCCTTTACTCACATATTAGTATTGGGCAGAGGGGATATTAGATATTAATGGAAAAGATAAAAATGAGCTGATAAAAAGCTCTTGTTATTGTATTATCTTTTTTCACTCTAGGATGCATTTCGGGCCTTTCATCCTGATATCACCTTTGTACGGAAGTTTCTTAAGCCCTTATTAATCGGAGAACTTGCCCCAGGAGAACCCAGTCAAGATAGAGACAAGAATGTGAGTATTACCAACTTTTAAATGAGACTTCGTTTTTGTTTGCAATACAAACACCTCTAATTCCTACAGACCCCTACTCTTTGTGGTTTATACCAGAAGATAATTGGAAATTGGGGTGTTTGTTTCCTTTTTTTACCTCCTTACAGCTACATAAAGTTCCATAAGTGGTGGATGCACAGAAATACATGAGATCGTCCCATCTGGATTTAGCCACCTTGTGGGGTCCTTGTGGGGTGCTTGTCTAAGGTTAGATGGGTCAAAAGAATGCATAATTTCAGGGTTTGAAGATGAAGAGGTTTTGAACAAATTAACATGAAACTAAAAGAGCTATAGGTAAACATGGATTCTGCCTCCCCATCATGTCAGCAGAGGGAGTGCTTGATTTGAACAGGGAAAGAGAGACAACTATTAAGGGCATTTTTGATCCTCTCCCCTCAAATAGAGCTGAACTGCTGTCATGCCTTAAGGATATTCTGAAGGGGAAATCCTTGTTACCATAGAAACGTCATGTAGCTAAAGGCAAGAGAACTAGGGAAGAAAAATGACAAGTGTGAAATTAACCAAATTGGGTAAAACAGCAGATTTTCATCGGAGGCTGTTTTATTTGGTAGGATCCCATTCCCAAGTCACTGTGTATGTGCCAAGCCAATTGTATATGCAGCTATATATATGCATATATACATGTTTACATTTCCTTCACTGGAGATCATGCCCCTGGTTACTTGTGAGTAATGGGAAGCCATACATGAAAATTTAAAGACATTTGGCATTCTGATCCCAAACAAGACCCCACTGTACCTTCCCCATCTGTCTCTTACTTGCCATGTCACTTGAGATTTCTCGAATCCCAGATGTTCAGCTTATCAATTATTCAGGCGCTCTGCCTCACTTGGCTGATTTAAAAGGAGGCAACCTTTTCCATTCCCTCTTGTTCTGAGATGACTGAGGTCACGACAGACAATACTGCACCTAAACATTCAAACTGAAGATTTTGCATTAGCTCCTTTCCAGAGAGACCATATTCTACAACGTTCTGCCTTCCAACGAGTGTGACTGTCAGATGCGGGGGCAGAAGCTGGCCCATTTTTAATTACCTCCTGTTGTCCTCATGAGACCAAGCTGGCAGAAATACAGAGAAGCAGTGGAGACACCTGCTGAAGCAAGAGTCATTTAGCCGTACTTGAATTAGTAGTGAAAATGTTCGCAGTTGTATAATTTCCTTTATACAAGGAACGTTTTCCAATGCTTGCGCAATAAATAGCTACTTAAGGGGGATCCCAGTGTGTTCCTTTCCTAAGAGAGTATTTATTATCAGAACTTGAGCAATTGCTTTGAAAAAGTAATTAGCTCCAGTTACTATTTTAAGCCCCCATAACTAGTGTCATAGCTACAGTTTTGAAAGTATCATTTTACTTTCCCATAATGCAAAATTAATTTGAGAATGCACTTCTATTAATTTTTTTAACAAAATGAGAATGCTACAAACAGATCTATGCTAAGTCAGTATCTGTCATACTGCTAAAACAGTGGTTCCCAACCTTTTTTTGACCAGGGACCACTCTCCAACATTAGTACCAAAATGGTTACGAATCTGTTTTTGGTCAGCTTTAGATTCAGTTTGGTTATTTGGGATGCTGATTCAGAAAATTGCATTGGATAGACCACATCAGCTCCAGTTTCTGGTGGAGAACATACACTATCCAGTAGTCGCCATCTACTTGCCCACAGAAAACAATATTCAATAAGCCTCAGCATTGTAAGAGGGTTTCACGAGACCAGTTGCTCTTGTTGTAACAGTGAGGTTATGGACCATGTTTTAGTTCTTGTGGACCACTGGTGCTTCACGGACCACAGGTTGGGAACCACTGCTCTAAAAATAACTAATATGTATGTCATTCCTCATTATGTTACATTCAGAATGTTTTTGCTTTCATTGATGCAAAAAGAAATGAATTATGAACAACTCATTGTTTTGTAGTTACTTCTGGATAAGACATTGTTTAAAAGTATAATGTTGTAGAAAAGCATGGAAATATGTGTGTGTGTGGGGGGGGGGTATCAGAAATTAAAACAAAGATATGCAGGTGGTTAAGCAAAAGAGAAAAAAAGTCCTTGTAAAATTTCTTCTTTTGCTATAGCTACAATTCTTTCCTCACAGATTTGATTACTTATCTACCTTATCTTCCATGACCTTTCATTCCCTCTGCCCCCAGCCCTTCCCAAAGCGATCCACAAGTTGTTTGCAGTGGTCTTAGAAATATCTGCAAACATACTTTTAGTTTACATAACTCATACCAAGCAGTCATCAGTTGCACCTCCTTTTGTTCCGACATTTGTGTTCCTCTTTCTGGAGTGGGTAAAGCACAGGGGGTGAATATTGAATAGCAGAGATAGGGAATCTTTCACCTTCCATCTCTTTTGAATGCAAGCTCCCAGATTTTCTAACACCCAATGCAAATACTTAAAGGATTGTTGGAATTGTAGTCCAAAACATCCTCAAGTGTTCCTGTGATATTGATACCTTGATGTACCATCCAAAGTTTTGCATTGAGCCACCAGGATTTATTTCTATCTCCTGTACTTCCACTTTGCAGGCCCAGATGATAGAAGATTTCCGCACACTGAGGAAGACAGCAGAAGAAATGAACTTATTCAAAGCGAGTCCTGTATTTTTTTCCTTTTGCTTGGGTCACATCCTTGTGATGGAGGCTTTGGCTTGGTTAATGGTTTCATACTACGGTACAAGTTGGAGTATAACTTTCCTCCTTATCATCATCCTTGCAACCTCTCAGGTGAATTTCCTTCTCTATATTCTGGTGCTGCCATTGGCTAGCTAATTTATTCATACATTGACTTTATTTCAGCAAACTTGAATGTTATCCAGACCTCCATGTAATGAGGAAGAGTGAAATCAAGTTACAATGTGTTAAATAAAAGCTACCGGTCACTTTCAGAAAGATGTGGGCCTTTTTCAGCATTGCAACATACATGGTCCAAAGTAGATTCAGGAGACAAACCAACCTGTTCTTGGCTCTCATGCGCTGTCATTGAAATCAGTCTTCCCTTGTTAAAACTTGGTCCCACATAATAAGATAAGGAGCCCCCTGGTGACGCAATGGGCTAAACCCTTGTTCTGAAAGGTCGGCGGTTCAAAACCAGGGAACAGTGTGAGCTCCCATCTCTCAGCTCCAGCTTCCCATGTGGGGACATGAGAGAAGCCTCCCATAGGATGGTAAAACATCTTGGCATCCCCTGGACAATGTCCTTGCAGATGGCCAATTCTCTCACACCAGGAATGACTTGCAGTTTCACAAGTTGCTCCTGACACAAAAAATAAACATTATAAGAATCAGTGGTGCTAGATGAAAAGTGCTGAACTTATTTAAAGACAACAACTGAAGGAATTTTGGTCCACATGTTGAGGCATTTAGTGACCTACACCCTACATCAGGGGTCCTCAAACTGAGGCCCAGGGGCCGGATACAGCCCTCCAAGATCATTTACCCGGCCCTTGCTCAGGGTCAACCTAAGTCTGAAACAACTTGAAAGCACACAACAATCCTATTTCATCAGCCAAAAGCAGGCCCACACTTCCCATTGAAATACTAATAAGTTTATATTTGTTAAAAATTGTTTCTCATTTTAATTATTGTATTGTTTTAAGGGTTTTTGCACTAGAGATAATATATGTGCAGAATGCACAGGAATTCATTCATTTTTTAAAAAATTATAATCCGGCCCTCCAGCAGTTTGAGGGACTGTGACCTCTGTTTAAAATTTTTGAGGACTCCTGCCCTACATGTATATGCCATGACTATCAATACCTTATGTGTATATGACATGATTACTGACCTAGATGTTACATGTATGTGCCATGATTAGTAATAACTACTGGTGGCTTTGGAGTTAGTGAATCAGTGACTTTACTGCAGATTTTGTTAGATGTTTGAAGGTTCAGAACCCTTCCCCCAAAATAGATTACCTTGGACAGCTCCATTGCAGTTAGAGTCATATGGGAACTAGCAGACACAAATACAAGGAGCTGAAGTAAGCTGTGCACCCGAGAGTGCTCATGTTATCATCTTAAGGTAGTGGAGGCTAGGAAATCAAATCATCTGGTAAGCAGGACAAGAGCAGGAAGAATGAAGTAAAGGGAGCCACAATTATCTGCTCCCATTCTTTCTATTTAGTAGCAATACAAGAGAGCAGATGAAGAGATTCTTTCCAGTCCTGCCTTTCTCTCTATCACTTACTCAGAGCTTTTCTATCTCTTTTCCAGCAAAGGAGGGCATGATTACAATGTGAAAATTCATTGAAGGGACCACTAAAATAAGGTCCCAGTCATGTTCCAAGCTTTTTTTATCATGTCAGAAGCAAATTGAGAATATACTGCAAGTTGCTTCTAGTGTGAGAAATGTGGCCGTCTGTGAGGACGTTGCCCAGGGGACACATAGATGTGTTACCATCCTGTCAGAGGCTTCTCTCATGTCTCCGCATGGGAAGCTAGAGCTGACAGATGGGAGCTCACCCCATCTCATGTATTTGAACTGCCAACCTTCAGGTCTTCAGTCAGCAGTTCAGCCGGCACAGTATAAACCCATTGCACCACTGCGGTTCCTATGTTCCAAGCTAAAGTGTAGTTGTGGGATGGGCAGACACTGTATACAGGGGTCCTCAAACTTTTTAAACAGAGGGCCAGGTCACAATCCCTCAAACTGTTGGAGGGCTGGATTATAATTTTTAAAAAGCATGAATGAATTCCTATTCATACTGCACGTATCTTATTTGTAGTGCAAAAAACACTTTAAAAACAATACAATAATTAAAATGAAGAACAATTTTAACAAATATAAACTTATTAGTATTTCAATGGGAAGTGTGGACCTGCTTTTGGCTGATGAGATAGGGTTGTTGTTGTTGTTGTTGTTGTTGTGTGCTTTCAAGTATTTTCAGACTTAGGTTGACCCTGAGCGAGGGCCGGGTAAATTACCTTTGAGGGATGTATCCAGCCCCCGGGCCTTAGTTTGAGGATCCCTGCTCAAACTAGTCAAGGCACTAGAGCAAAAAGTCTAGCAGCAGGATTCAAATAGGATACAAGCTAAAAAAATTACAATGATTTCTTAGATCTCTTTTAGATACATTTTCCCTCTTCCTCCACAGATATAACATCTGTGGGGACAGAGTACGCAATGCCCATTTGCATTCCAAGCAGTCTCCTTTCTAATGTGGTTGTCAGAATCTGTTACTATGGTAGTAACAGCTGAAAGTTATAGTAATGTTCTCTGTGTTAGATTTTATTTTGAACATAGGCATCTGGAATTTCACCTACATCAGTGTCAGCTCTGTTGATTGCAATGTTGCACAGAAAGTGAAGAATGTGCAAATGGTTAAATGAGTCTTGATGTCATATTTTTGTTAAATGGCACTTTTCTATTATGATCATTCTCTTTCCTCCAAAGGCCCAAGCTGGATGGTTGCAGCATGACTTTGGACACCTCTCTGTGTTTAGGAAATCCAAATGGAACCATTTAGTTCATAAGTTTGTGATTGGTCACTTGAAGGTAAGGCCACCTAATAAAAGAAGAGATGATGGCATTAAGATGATCATGGAAGGGTTGCGGTGTGTTTAACAGAGGCAGGTGGAAATCCAAGACGGAAATCCCTCATCACATGACTATGAAATACCAGAGACCTATTGGAATTTCTGCTTGCTTTCTTGCTATTAAAGCCACAGTGAAACACATCTTCACTGGAGGCTTTCTGGGCCATATTCTTCATTCTTCAGGTGTAAAACAGTAAATTCTAACTTTAGGTTTTGTGGCGTAACATAAAAACAAACATTTGATCAGCCCTCACACTGCCTTGCCAGAAAAAGAAAATATGCCATGCAAATGAACAATAAAGAACAAGTAGTTTGCTCTTTGTAGTTCAGAGCAACATATGTACAATGTGGTCACTTGCATCAACTTACATAATGTCCTTCTGTGAGAGATTTAAAATGGTATTTCTTTATCTGTGTGGATAAACTCCTCCAGCAGCCCATGAAGTGAGAGCACACTCCAAACTCTGTCTCTCTCTGCTTCTCTGCAAGCATCTGCATAGTTCAGGCCTGAAAAATGTAACAGTAACCAAAAGTCCCAGGTTCAGCCATCTCCCCGCATGAAGCTCAACCAGTCAGCTTTATGCATCTTATTTTACAGTTCACACACAGACACACTAACCAATTTCTTGCATGCCATAACAGGTTTGACTGAGGGTTTTTACCAAAACAAAAAATAAGAAAAAAATCAAATAAACAGTTTTAGACTTGTCATCAAAGAGCAGTCCAGGTTGAAAGGTAATGTTAATGTGTTTAGAAGAATATCAGATAAGAAAAAAGACTTTTGCAAGGTCTAGAGCCTTGGTTGCTATCAAACCTACTTGGCCAATTGTTCTTATTCCTTACTAGCTGACCCGCCACGTGTTGCTGTGGCCAACCTTCCTTCCCTCCCTCTTTCTCTCCTCCTTTCTTTCTCACCTTCCTTCCTTCCCTCGTTCCCTCTTTCCTTCCATTCCTTTTTTCTTTCATTCTCTCCTTCCATCCTTCCTTCTCTTCCTCTTCCCTTCCTCCCCCCCCCTTCCCTTCCCTTCCTCCTTCTTTCCTTTCTCCCTTCTCTACCTATTCTTGGACTGCAACTCCCAGCAGTCCTCCTGATCCATCTATCTATTTACCTATCTATCTCTATCTAATCTATCTATCTGGAGGATTGCTGGGAGTTGGAGTCCAGGAATAGGAAATTGGAAATATGCAGGGTTTGGGATGCTCTCAAAGAGATCCAAGGAGAAGAAAGCTTGCAGCTTGGAAGCAATGCATTTGGATCATCCTCCTTTCCTAAAGGGCCTGGTCCAGTGGTTTTTTGAGTTATGTTAATCCCACAAACAAACATTACATTTTTATTTATATAGATTGTTGTGGAATCAGGACATTAGGAGTTTTTGTATGATTACACCCAGCAATAAATCATGTTGATATAGGAGAAAGAAAATGTATTTAACCTGTAAGTGATCAATGTTACAGGTTAAGATGGTAGAAGCTGGAAGATGTAATTAAATGCAAGAAAATTGTTTTTAAACATATGGGGTATGGCTAGAGGAGCAAGAGTTCAGGACTAGAAAATCAGGTTTCTCAAGAAGCCATTGAGAAACCGTTGGAGAAACAGGACCAAGAATAGTACTTACTACCTTTATTTTGCCCAACAGAAGCAAGTGGATATTCTTTAGATACCACCAGCTGGCCATTAACAATTAATGCTAAGAAGCACTGACTGGAAACAGTCCTAAGAGAATTAGCAGTTCTAATCCTAGGATCAGCAACTTTTTTTTTTGCTCATGTGCCTTAAGCAACAGACTAGCACATAGAAATTAAGTCGCTGAAGCGTTTCCGGCTTTGGAGATGAAGTAGCAGGAACCATGTTTCACTGCTGTCTAAGGTTAGTGATAAAGGCCCAAGAGCACACATCATCACTATAGCATCATCTAACAGAATTAATATTCTTCTCATGTGCAGTGATAGATTTCTGACTTTCTCACAGTCTTTTAAGTATTCTCTTTTATATGAGCACGCCAAGCCTGGGACCCTTGTGCCCATGCCACATCAAAACAAAGGCTCCTGTCTTGGCCATCCTCATCAGTGGTAATTTCTCAGAGCTTTTTCTGAGTGGTAGCCTTTCCTACTTCTGTCTGGGACAACTGGTGTTCAGCATATGTGAGTCAAGCATTGTAACTGCCAGCGATAAACATGGGCTGGACTGAAGGCCTCTTTGTTAAGGAAGACTTTGTGTCAGCCTCAAGTTCTTGGAAACAGTCTTGAACAGCTTAGAGAGCCAACGGCATCAGAGCCTGTTTCAAGAAACACTTGGCCTGGACTGCGTTTTGCACAAGGACAATTGGGAGTAAAATCCTAAGGAGAAAAAGGAAGAAGCCAATATCCCTCTCCCTCACATTTCCTTTAAGTTTTTTAAACTGTCTGTTATATAATGAAACTACTACACTTAACATCAATTCACTGTCATTTGTAAGTTTCGATTATCAAACAGGTGAGTCAATGGGTCTGCTTTTCTTGGGAATAGTAGTTGGCCTAGGGGGTATCTACACTGAAGAATTAATGCCCTTTAGCCCCACTTTGATGCCCACGACTCAGTGCTATTGAACCCCAGGATTGTAGTTTGACACTTTTTGGCAGAGAAGGATCAAGACCTTGTAAAACTACAACTCTCATCATTCCATAGCATTGAGTCAGGGCAGTTCAGGTGGTATCAAAATGCATTACTTCTATAGTGCAGATGCACCATATGACTACTATCTTCTCAGGGCCAGGATAAACTTTCTGCAAACAGTAAGGGTAGCGGGACAGTTATTAGATGAGCACATCCTTAAATTTCACACCAGCCCACCCACTGTTGTGTAATACCAATACTGGCTCATCAGGTCTTGAAGTATGAGCTGCATAAATAGGGGTGAACATAAAATGGACAGAAAGGAGACTGATGTGATTTTTAAAAATGTTTGCCAATGCCGGAGTAGTAGAGGAGGTAAGAAAAGACAGATCAAGGAAGAGCAGTTGAATAGAAAGATGAGTAGAAACAGCTACCTTTAACCATTCTGGGTTAGCACAGTGGTTCTCAACTTGTGGATCCCCAGATGTTTTGGCCTTCAACTCCCAGAAATCCTAACAGTTGGTAAACTGGGATTTCTGGGACTTGTAGACAACAACACCTGGGGAACCACAAGTTGAGAATCACTAGTTAGTGGGACTTCCCAGCATAACAAATCTATCCTAGAGGAAGTACTATATTTGCAATACCCTGGGTCTGAAATGGTTTGCATTTGTTCTGTGTGTTTAAACTGTGGGCCTAAAGACACCAGATCCATCTTATCTTGGAAGATAAGTACTTGGATAGGAGACCACCAACACATACCAGGTGCAGTAGGCTACATTTCAGAGGGAAGAACTGGCAGAAACACGTCTTGAGCTTTCCCTGCCTGAAAAAGCCTATGAAATTCATGGGATCTTCTTAAGTAATCAGGTGGCTTGAAGACAGATAGATGCAAACACACACACACATTTAAATTCTTGGAAATCCTGAAGGTATATTTTTTCATTTTATTTTTAAAAGGGACTTCTTAATTCTACCTATCAGCCTTCCCATCAGCTTTTTAGGATCTAGAGTATTATAAGTGCTTATCCCTGGTGCACATCTAGCCTGAAAATGATTTTCTCTATTCTAATGTAGCAAAGATGCATCCAGGGAAGAAGGAACTGTATAGTACAAATTAGCTGTATAGCACAAACTGAAGGAGTCAGGCCTAAGGTCTTAACTGCAAGCTATATTCCAATTTCAATTGGCAATGGCAGCAGAACTCAGAGAAAACTAAGAGTACATGTATACAGTAAAATGAATGCAGATTAACTCCACTTTAACTGCCATAGCTAAATGCTATGGAATCATAGGGGTTGTAGTTTGTTGAGGCATTGGAACTATTTGACAGAGAAGATTAAAGATTATGTAAAACTATAACTCCCACAATACTATAGTCTTAAGATGTTGCAGTTAAAGTGCTGTCAAACTGCATCAATTCTATAGTGTAGATATACCTTTAGTTAGAGACTTCCATCACCTTTTCCATGGGTTCCACAAATATTTATTATATGGGTACATATTATTAACATTACAGCCTCTTTTTCTGCACATGAATGGTTTTTAGAATGTGGAGATGACACGTTGACAGAAATCCAAGATGTCCATGGACTGTCCGCATATTTCTACAGGGTGCTTCAGCAAATTGGTGGAATCACCGGCACTTCCAGCATCATGCCAAGCCCAACATCTTCAAGAAAGATCCAGATGTGAATATGATGCATCTTTTTGTTCTAGGAGATACTCAGCCTGTCGAGGTAAGATGAAAGAATGTGAAGCCAAGTTGTGTTTACACTGGAGATTTCAGATCTGATTGGTTTGTTATAATAAGAACATAGTAGTAAAAACAGTGTGGGCCTAAATACCCTAAAGGCATCAGATCCTGTCTGACCTTGGAAACTAAGCAGGGTCAGTCCTGATCAGTACTTGGGTGGGAGACCACTAATTAATACTGTGCACTGTAGGCTCAATTTGAGAGGAAGAGACTGACAACCCCACCTCCAAGTATTGCCAGCCTAAGAAAACCCTGTTAAAATTCATGGGGTCACCGTGGTTTGACAGGTGACTCGAAGGCCACATACACAGCAAACAGCACAGTCTTGTTTTTGTGAATGTGTTCCTATTTTGTAGTAAACAGCCTTTTTGGTGATGAACAGATGTTTTGTAGCCATCTATTGCCTAATAGTGCTGAACTAGTTCTGGATTTTTCGGAGACATAAACCAAACAGTAGAGTCTTGCTTATCTAACCTCCACTCATCCAACGTTCTGTATTATCCAATGCATTTTGCCTCCTGTCCAGATCCACAGCTGTTTCAATACATTGTGATGATTTGTTGCTAAATTCGTAAATACAGCAATCATTGCATAATGTTACTGTGTATTGAACTGCTTTTTTTGTGATGATTTATTGTAAAACATGATGTTTTGGTGCCTAATTTGGAAAATCATAACGTAATTTGACGTTTAATAGCCTTTTCCTTAATCCCTTCTTATTATTCAACATTTTTGCATATCCAGCATTCTGCTGGCCCTTTTATGTTAGGTTAAATAATGCTTGTGAATAATTATGGAATATTGTGGTGAAATGTTGCCCTTGTTTTGGGACACATGTTTCCAATAAATCCCAACTTCAGCAAGTTTCAGTTACTAAATACAAGTAAATGCACTGTTTAGTCCAATTCTTTGTCATGATTTATGCTAGCTGGAAAGCTCTGACCTGGTTGTCACAGCAACTCTGAGTCTCTAACACATACCATTATAGTGTGTGCTAAAGAAGAACTGTAAGAAAAGGAAATAAAAAACAACCCCTTTCCCCAAGCTTCAAGAACAGTATATTGAAAATATCCATGGCCATGGGGAAAATTTTGAAAATATAGTAAGTATAAGAGAACACAAATGCTTTGAATAATCTATTTCTGAAGATTTTAAGTAGCTACAGGAAGAAAAAGAAAATGTAGGTTGAGTATCCCTTATCAAAAATACATACCTCCAGAAGGGTTTGGATTTGGGGGTGGGGGGTGGGGAATGGATTTTGGAATATCTGTATTTGCATATATGTATGTGTGTATGTGTGTGTATACACATTCACATACACATAATGAGATATCTTGGAGATAGGACCCAAATCTAAACACAAAATTATTTTCTGTTTCAATTACATCTGATACATATAGCCTGAAGGCAGTTTTATACACAATATTGTAAATAATGTTGTTCACAAAACAAAGTTTGTGTACATTGAACCATCAGAACCAAAGCCTATCTCAGCACCCCATGTGGACAATTTCAGGTTTTGGAGAATTTTGGAATTCCAGATAAGGGATACTCTACCTGTAGTGGCATATTAATGGCTCAGCCATTAGTGACATAATCAGAAGAGAGTGCCCAAAGTGTGTTACCTCTTTGGGCAGGTTCAGTAATGGGTTTTTATTCCCTATGAGACCAAGGTTCATTCATTTTTCTTTGGTACATTTCAGTAAAAGATGGCCAACTTAACAAGTGGAGAACCTGCCCAAAACCTGGAAATGAACCAACCTCAGGATAGAAATATCTAGGTGTTCTTTCATGCTGTAACATTTTTCGATTGTTCTTTCCAAAGATCAGGCTGTCCTCAAGCAATAGTTTGTTCAAACAAAAAAAAAAATAATGGAGTTGAGCCAACTTTCAGTACTGAGTCATTTGATTGATTGTGCTTTTCCTGTATGGCAGGGGATTGGACTAGATGGCCCATGTGGTCTCTTCCAACTCTATGATTCTATTATTTAGAAACTGATAAGTGGGTTTGGAGTTGGGTGTCAGGAAAGAACTATATCTTCATTGACGGATTCCTGAATTTTCTTGTTTACCACTTCCTTTCCCATTTCTTCTTTCTTTTCTATGATATCTTTCAGATAATGTGTTTCCATTTACAATTAGCATGAACTACCAACATCTTTCTCTGTGTATCATTAAAAAAATAAAAGTGCTCCATTTCCATTCTTTTTCATCAAATGTCAGTGTGAAAAGTGTGTCCCTTGGCCCCAAACAGCTTCCTAGGCTGATTTTGCTGCCCTCCATCCTCCAGAATCCCTAGACTATCTTATTTAGGAGGAAGCAAAAAAAGGAGGATCTCAAGTGACAGTTTTTCTTGACATTGTAGTTTCATATTGCATTACAGAAGACTGTAGGGGCCTAATAGTGCACAACATTACCAATTACCTAGTACTCATTCTTTCAGTTATGGAGAGTGGCATTGGTGGCATTTATCTCTGGAGTCATATTAAATTAAAATAAAATAATTACACTTCTGGAGTAAGAGTTACAGTGCAATCCTGTGCATATTTACTAAGAAGTATAACCAATACTTCAACAGAGCCTAGTTGTTAGTAGGTGAATATTATTTTCTCAGTTCTTTAGGATTGCAACCCAAACAACCTTTTTAAAAGCTACATTGGTGCAGTTTTCACATGTCACATATTGAATTTCAAAATTTAAAGCATTTGATTGTCAAAACATATACTTTGAAGGAAATGGTTAGTATATACTTTTTACAGAACTAGATTACTTTTTAAGGGGTCCTTAAGCCGAATTGTTCTTGAAAGCTTCTGTTGACCAATTAATGCAATGATGTTCTCATCCAAACATACATATATAGACGAGCATAATTTTTTACGTGCTGAGAAACCCACTGGAATGTAGTGGTGTCTGAGAAATTACAGGAAGGAGCAACTGAGGCCATCAGGAGCATAAAGCATCCTTCTGATGAAGCAAGGCTTTTTATTGGGGCCTTCCAGGGTAGAACGGGAAACAAGTAAGCAATGTGTCATTCTGCACAAGAGTCATCTGTTTGATGGGGTTAAAAACCAACATATCACTCTCTCAAAATACAAATTCCCACCCATGAAAGGAAATTCCACAGTGAATATCTTTCCCTAAAGGTGCCACAATTTTATACTGTCATTGCAGGAACTGAAAAATACCTTTCTGGAAGACAGTATCCACTTGTTTTTCCCCACAACATGTACAGTTTTATACTCAACTCTTGGTATCTGCTGGGTTTGGTTCCAGGACTTCCTGTGGATACCAAAGTCACATCTCATTATATAAAATGGCAAATTTGAGGTTTGCTTTTTGGATTTTAAAAAAAATATCAAATTGTAGATGCAGAATCCATCTACAGCTTGATACATTTACAGAATGTATCACCATAGAATAGTTTATGGTCTCTGGTCACTTCAGAAGTATGAGGAAAGGTAGATGGAGTAGATGTCTACTCCAGTGACTTCAATGGCTAGAAATTGGTTTGCAGTAAGATATCTCTGCTTATGATACAAGTAAGATGAGCAACAGGAGTTTTCAGATCTCATAATACTCAAGCTTCATTGTGAGTTTTGGACTGACAGAATGACAGCTCATTTGATCTGACACATGGTAATTTGGGAGGGGAGAGGAATTCCCAATATATTCCCAGGCTATCTACCTTTTAGTTTGGGCTTTAAATATTTAACCCTTTTACTTGTATCATAAGGAAATAAATGCTTAGAAACAAAGATGTGGGCACCATAAAATGCTATATTTTATTCCACTGAAAAAAATCTACATTGTATATGTGTCCACAGTTATCTGGTCTGTTTTGGTTCATTCACTTGTTATTTTTTAAAAAGTATTTTAGAATATTTTCATGCTTTGGATGGTGGAATTTATGGATGCCAAATCCATGGATATGGATGGCCAGTTCTGTCTAAAAACCCTTGTAGAGAGGGCCTGGAAAGTCGACCCAAGGAATAAATTCCATATCTAGGTCATTAAGGACTGACAAAGTCCCTTTTCTGTCTTTCTTTTTTTAGTATGGAAAAAAGAAGCTGAAATTCTTCCCTTATAACCGACAACATGAATATTTCTTTTTTGGTGAGTGTCTTCATATTTTTTTCATTTTCTTACATGTAGAGAATTCAAGTTTCATGTTACTGTATCATTCCTTCTTACTTAAACATAGCCTTTTGAGTTTTATTACCTTTATAATCAATGAAAATTAGAATATTAATTAATATTTTAATTTTCTTTCACATGGAATCCAAAGCACCAAGCTTTGTTATTATGATCTCTCCCTTGTTATGTGGTCTCTTTCAAGTTTTCAGGGTATTACATGTATCCTTGGATTTTATTTATTTATTTATTTAAAAAACCTTTCAAACCCCTGCTAGGTGCACTTTTCCTGACTGTATTTTGATAACTTCACAGGATCATTTTATTTTTATCCAACACATTCTCCAAAAACTCTAAGGCACCAAATATGCTCCCTCCACTTGTAGCCTTACTTATTGAGTTACATATCCAAAAAGGGATCAGACTTTGGTTTTCCTGAGTCCTAGAGCTCATTGACAATGGTCACTTATTGCAAGGCCAGTAGAGTAAAAATTTCCTGAACAGGCCTTGGAGGCGGCCACATGATGAGGGAGAAGGAGGAGAGTAATATGTACAAGGAAGAGAAGATAGTAGCAGTGGTCCATGTGGGCAGCAGAATTATCTGCACTGGACCTAATACTCCTGTCCAAACTGTGCCCAAATTCTGGGGTTGCTCTGGCATTTCAGCCAAACTCTAGAGTCTCGCCCAACTTTCCTTAACATGGTGTTACACTGGATTAACCCAATTCACCGCAAGGTAAGGACCAGAAGTTCCTGAATGTCATTAAGACATCCAGGAATGACTTTACAGTAAGTGCAGGCTATTAAGACCAGCTCCTAGTCCAGCAGTAGAATACATACACATATATATAACTAGGACTAAAATACACAATATTATAATACTGACTAAAGCACAAAAGGGTTGTGACCCCTTCCAATCCAAACTGGAATGAAAAGAAAAGGGAGGAGATAAGAAAAAAAATCTCCCATTACAAAAATCCAACTAATTCCTACTATAATTACTAATAACTGTAGCCAGAAATTATTACGATGTTAGATTTCTTATTGCTCAAAAAGTCCAAAATGGTGTCCAGATTTTCAAGAACTATATCTTCAGTGGTTTTATCCTTTAAAATCTGCATTAGCTTGGCAATTTTTGGCCAACTCAGCAACCTTGACAATCCATTTCTATGTCATCTGTGCTTCAGCCTGTTTCCTTTTTGAGCAAACAATGCTGTTATCATGTATCAGACAAGTAGTCTATATTTATATCCATTTTTTTATCCATTATGCCCAGCAAAAACATTTCTGGTGACGTGTGTAAGATGTACCTGAGACATAAATTAATTCCATGTTTAGACTTGCGCCCCATCTCCAAGTTATCTCATAATGCAAATACAGGTATCTCAAAATCCAAAATACTTCTCGCCATAAGCCTTTTGGATAAAGGATACTCCATCTGTAGCTACTTTGCCTCCAGCCACCATTTTTATACCTCATTCTTGCCTTCTTCCTCTAATCTTCTGGTTTTCCTTTCAGTTTTCCCACCACTCCTCATTCCAGTTTACTTCCATATGCAAATCTTCACGACCATGTTCAAACACAAGTACTGGGTGGTAAGTCAAAGATTCCTCTCCCCACGTCCTTCATTTTCTTCATTGAATCCCATTTCACTGGAGTCAAAGGCTCTCTGACAAGATCTTATTGGGGGAGGCAAGGAGTTTCTCATTGCATTTTGTGCTGATGCAGGCACTAACAGGCAAAAGCTGAAGTATCACCCATATAATATAATCCTCTTCCTTCTTTCTCTAGGACTTGGCCTGGGCCTTCAGTTATTACATACGCTACTTGATCACATACACCCCATTTTATGGAGTTATTGGATCCATGTGTCTCCTCACCTTTGTTAGGTAAGAGAGAGAAACAACTTCCATCTTTCTGAAATTCTTCCTTCCATCAGTGGCATGAAGGCATCACAACTGAGTTGCTTTCAGAGTAGCCTAGTCATGTTGTGGTCTTGTAGGTGGATCAGGGAATAGGGATCCAGCCTGTGCTGGATGGGGCCACTTTCCCCCTGAAGTCACAGGTCCACAGTTTGGGGGTCATCCTGGACTCAGTGTTGAAGCTAGAGGCCCAAGTATCTGCGGTGGCCAGGAGGGCCCTTGCACAATTAAAACTTGTGCGCCAACTCCGCCCATTCCTTGAGAAGCTGGATCTGGCCACAGTGGTACATGCCTTAGTTACACCCCGTCTGGTTAACTGTAATGTGCTCTGCATGGGGCTACCTTTGAAGAATGTTCAAAAACTTCAGTTGGTCCAAAGAGCTGCAGCCAGGTTGCTAAATGGGGCTGCCTACAGGGAGTGGACAAACACTCTGTTGAAACAGCTCTACTGATCTAAAGTTTCTTTCCAGATTACAATTCAAAGTGCTGATTATGACCTAGACAGTCAGGTCCAGGCTATTTGGCTAACTGTAACCCCTTGTACAAACCTACCCAGGCCCTGGAATCTTCAGGAACTCAACTCTGGGACTCCCTTCTTCCCAGGGAAGCCAGAATGACCACCTCCTTGCTGTTCAGGGTTTAAATAAATATAAACAACAACAATGCCATTAAGGTGGTCCTGGAGTCCCCCTGGCACATAGAAATGACATGCCAGGAGATGGGGGGGGGGGGATCATTTCTACATGCATAGAAATCTCCTGGTGCCCAGTAAGTTTTTAAACATTTTAGGGTACTTTTGGAGGCTTGATGGAAAGGGATGCACACCATCTCACATCTTTGGGCTCCAGGAGCCCAAAAGTTGTGAGATGACAATGGGGACTACCTGGGGGGTGAGTCCTCATGAGGCCAATACCCCATTAGACCCAGGTCTTTCCAGAAGGCTCGGATCTAATAGGGTATCTAATTAATTCAGGTAAACCCTGCTTTGTTCCACATTAATTTGCTTTTACCTGAGACGTTGTCTGGACACCTCAGGTAAAAGCGCAAAAGGCCCCACATTTTTGGGCCTGTCTGGAAGAGTCCTCAGAGCCAGGGTGAAATCAGCTCCACAAAATGCAGAGCATAGTGTAGACACCTGTCTGTGCTGAAGCGCAGCAAAGATCCCAAACCAGGGTGAAGGCTTCCAAAATGCTCAAAGAGCATGGCTGAGCAGCATGGGGCTAATTGGATGTGTACTCAAACTGGTTCTAGACCTTTCAATCAGTTCATCCTTTTTGAACTGGTTCCAAGATTAATTATCATGACAGTATAGAAGCGCCCTGAGTCTCTTTCATCCTTAGGAACATTTTGGGGGTTTTATTTGAAGTGTTTTAGTAGAGCACCGTTCTACTTCACTGACTGTTGTCCTTCCAGTTATTGCTGCTCAATAAGATTGAATCTTTGTGTGTGCTTTCTTCTTTTTTAATAAAAGGTTTTTGGAAAGCCATTGGTTTGTTTGGGTCACACAGATGAATCATATTCCTATGGAAATTGACTATGAGAAGCACAGAGACTGGCTCGGTGCTCAGGTAAATGTTTCTAGTCTTATACAACAAAATACAAAATCCACAAAAGAGTGATACCTTTGGTGGTCAGTTAAACTGCAGAAAACATCTCATGCAAAATTCCAAAGTTTCCCTGATTTCTTCCTCAGGCAAAGATGTTAAAATCCATACAGAAGAAGAATAGACATTCATTTTGTCTTAGAGATTACCTTTGTTTGCAGTTAAGATGGTCTGGAGGGATCTCAGTGCAGGCAGAGGCCATTCCCCTTCTTAGCCATGTGGGTAACAGGGACAAAGGGCAATAAAAAGAAAATAATAAAATGTCAATTTAGTTAGCAACAGAAAAGTAGCCACAATCTCCCTTTAAAATGATTTTTCCAACAGAAGCTAGACCACTCCTCATTCATACGGGGGTTATTTCAGATGAAAGACTATGTGATCTGAAAATAAACCAAAGTATATGGGGGTTGCTATTAGATTTTATCAGATTTCTACTCAGTTTTGCCTTCCTTGGAAGTCTTTGCCACCATTTGTAAAGAGGTGTCTAACATAAATCCTTTTTGTACATTACATTTCTTTGTTGAGGTTCCAAAAAACATTTGAACGCATTTTTAAATCTTTCAGTGACCTTCAAATAAAATTTGAAGAAAACGGCACTCTCTAACTTGACACTTTCCAAAAGTCTTAAATGTCTTTCAGTGAAAAGTCTTAAGTGTTTTAAATGTTTCAGATTTGCTTAAACATTTCATAAGAATTTGGTGTTTAAGTGAGGTGAATGCATGGAAACCTGTGCACATATCTGAAAGATGTCTTTGGAGTGCAGCCTTAGCCCGTAATCCCAAATCTCCTTATCTGGCAGTAAACCCCATAAAATTCACTGGGACTTATTCCGAGTAGACACAATTTGACTGTTTGAGCAGTAGATTGCATAAAGTGGAAGTAGGGCAACAGATGACTCCAAAAAAGCAAAACTCACAACGTCCACTTGGTTGTTCTCCAGTTCTTGATTTCATGAAGTGTCACCATTTCTCCCTCATTGTCTTTTACAGTTGGCAGCTACCTGCAATGTTGAACAATCTTTTTTCAATGACTGGTTCAGTGGACACCTGAACTTTCAAATAGAGCACCAGTAAGTATGCAGTATTTGGATTCAGAGATAGTAATCCTTTAGGTAAAGTAAACTCACCAAAAGTAAAGAACAAGTGTGATATTATTTCTGTTCCACCTTCTCTTGTTGTGTCCAGAAAATTACAAGAAAGTGTACATAAAAGTGTGATAATCACCCATATCATGTACTTACATTTGCCATTTAACAACAATAGAAAACAGTACCAAACATCATGCTACAATGTCAGTGCTGTATAACAGGCATCCTCAAGCTGTTTTGGCCTTCAACTCCCAGAATTCCTGACAATTGAACAAGCTCGTTAGTGCTTCTGGGAGTTGGAGGCCCAAACAGCTGGAGGGCCGCAGTTTGAGGTACAACTTTCTCTTATCAATAAGGTGGAATGGGCGATAGGTTCTGTTTCAGAAAGTGAAAACTCCATTGCTGAATGTTTCTCTGTGAAAAAAATAACCCAAAACCCATCCAACACAGTTCATATCTCAGAATTCTGTTCCAGCATGATTATTTTCTACTAGGATGAATCAATTTATTTCTTCTTTACATGCTGAGACCAGGGAGCATTTCAGCTATCTTCATTCCACCGCCTCAAGACTCTTCTACCTTATTTGGTGGCTACTTTATGTGTGCACATGCCTTCAAGTTGCCTTGATGCATGATGACACAATGGATGTCATGTTGTTGTTGTTCATTCGTTCAGTCGTCTCCGACTCTTCGTGACCTCATGGACCAGCCCACGCCAGAGCTCCCTGTCGGCCGTTACCACCCCCAGCTCCCTCAAGGTCAGTCCAGTCACTTCAAGGATGCCATCCATCCATCTTGCCCTTGGTCGGCCCCTCTTCCTTTGCCTTCCACTTTCCCCAGCATAATTGTCTTCTCTAGGCTTTCCTGTCTCCTCATGATGTGGCCAAAGTACTTCAACTTTGTCTCTAGTATCTTTCCCGCCAATGAGCAGTCGGGCTTTATTTCCTGGAGGATGGACTGGTTGGATCTTCTCGCAGTCCAAGGCACTCTCAGCACTTTCCTCCAACGCCACAGTTCAAAAGCATCGATCTTCCTTCGCTCAGCCTTCCCTAAGGTCCAGCTCTCACATCCGTAGGTGACTACAGGGAATACCATGGCTTTGACTAGGCGGATCTTTGTTGTCAGTCTGATGTCTACTCTTCACTATTTTATCGAGACTGGACATTGCTCTCCTCCCAAGAAGTAAGCGTCTTCTGATTTCCTGGCTACAGTCTGCATCTGCAGTAATCTTTGCCATAGAGTCATAGAGTTCTATTAAGAAAGGAACACTCACGAGTTGGATTTGCCAGTTATTTCCTCTCAAATTTAGTCTAAATTTGGGATTTATTAGTAGTCTACCATCCAAGTAATAAGCAAGGATAACCCTGTTTAGCTTCTAAAATCAGAAAGGATGTTTTGCCCTTAGGACAGTGGTTCTCAACTTGTGGATCCCCAGGTGTTTTGGCCTATGACACCCAGACATTCTAGCTAGTTTACCAGCTGTTAGGATTTCTGGGAGTTGAAGGCCAAAACATCTGGTTGAGAACCACTGCCTTAGGGTCTGTAGGCTGTTGCTGCTATACAGTCATTATTCCTTTAAGTAAGAAAGGAAGAGAGTGAAGTGGATTTTTTAATCTGCTATTCCTGCTGGTTTTAGCACTCTTTCTCCTTTTTCCTTTTATTTCAGTTTGTTTCCCACAATGCCTCGTCACAACTACTACAAGATAGCCCCATTGGTGAAGTCACTGTGCGCCAAGTATGATGTCCCTTATGAAGAAAAGCCTCTTCTAAAGGCATTCTCAGATATAGTTGGGTAAGAGGCTTGATGAGGATTGGCAACATGGTCATGAAATTGCCTCATGCCAAGACTGGAGAACTTACTTTAGCTCAACTGCTAAGTTTTATTAGATTGAAAGTTCTGGAGGATGTGAGAAGTCATGACCAAGGGCAAAAGGATGGGACCAAAATATCAAAACGTTGTTTAAATCTCATAAATCCAGTGGCTAGTCCTTAAAATAGATATTTGAAAACCTACCCAAGCCTGATAACATATAGTGAAACCAGCAGGACACATTTCTATCTGGGGAGCCCCAGAGGTTAGATTCAATCCTAGGGCTTGAGATTCCTCATCTCAATTCTAGTTACTTTAATGAAGACAGTGATTCCAAGAGTTGTAACACACTCAACCTAGCAGAGTTTTTCTCCCAGAAAACTATGCTTCATCCAAGAAAATGTTATGCAGACAAATAGTCAACATACTGATAGGCTTGTGAAATCCTCTGCATGAGATAGAGATGGAGAATGGTGATGGTGCAAATACCATTCATTATGTGTAAACAGTACAAGCAAGTAGATATGTTAATCTGTATGTCTGAAATCGAATCTTTCTCTCCCCACTGCTCTGTAAATTAAAAAATAACATGTATTTAGAGTGTGTGCATCCAAAGGATGGGATATATTGTTCACATCAAAACTAGAGTATACACATAATGAGGGAGTATGTGTATGCAGCATATTCACTGCCTGATGCCAACCATTTTACCGAATTTAAGTGGTCCTTTACAAAACATTAGACCTTGCCCCCAAAACATGTCACTCAGGCCAAATCAATTTGTCTCAAATATTAAGGAGCCAGTGGGATCACACTACATGATGCTATAAACATTCCCCAAAATTCATATTTTGGATGGAAAGCGTAGTGTTGGCTTTCAAAAAAAAAATTGTGACTTTTCCAGCTTTGAATCTGTGATCATACTGGAATTTCATCTCTCTTTTCTTACTCTGTAGGTCCCTAAAGAAATCTGGAGAACTCTGGTTGGACGCCTATCTCCATAAATGAAGCTGGATTTCAAAGCAAAGGGGAAGGTGTTAGTAGAGGGGAGGGGGCTGGTGGGAGGGGAAAGGGGTCTCAAGTGTGTTTTTATTGTCCATTTTCAGTCTGTATCTGTACCTGCTTGTTTGAAAGGAGTTTCCACCAATGGTGGGGTGGGTTCAGGGGACCTGTATAAAAATAGAGATGGCTTCAGCTATGTCGAGTATTGTCTGTAGAGGATAAATGGAAAACACTGTTCCTAAGACATGGTGGCTGAAAATTGTCCCAGTAAGTTATGGGGGAGTATTCAGCAAGGCAGGCTGAAGAATGAAAGAGCAAGTATGCAGAGATCTTCCCTTGTTCCTCTTCCCAATACTTCCTTTCCACTATCACAGACACATGGCTCACACAGAGGTTTCAAACAATAACAATCCTGTCTGTCTTCAGGTATCTGAAAAGCAAACAATAAAAGGAGCATGACCAACATCTTAAAGAGTCAATCTTAAATCAGCATGGGTTATCTTCCCCTGAATAATGCTGGAATAGAGAGTAGGAAATATAATGTGAAGCATCTGAAACCTCTACTTTACAAACCCTCATAATCTATTTGAGATGACAAATCACCAGAAGGAGAAATTGCTAGAAAGGAACATACACACCAACAAGTAATTAGTGTCAGCAGTTCATCAGAGAATGTCTTAGGGGAATTTCTTACTCACTTTTTCCAAAAAGAGAAATGAAAGGCAGAATGCAATCAGGAAATCTATGTCTGACTCCTTTGTTCAGAGCCCTAGGCCTTGTGTGCACAATCTTCCTATTTTCTCCTTCTCTTGAACAAAGCTACATGTGCTTACCTTGAACTTTGTGCAAGTTAAATCCTCTTCTCTATCACTTCACTGCAGAAATCTATAAAATATTGAGACCAGCTAACCCGATCCAACAAAGAGTCACATGTGTGGAAGCAGGCTTTCCCATCTGTATCTCTAACTGGATTGGGAATTATGCACCTAAATGGCCACTGTGTATAATTCACAAGCTGTGAAGCTCGCAATTAGAAACTCTATTTTAAGATGAATCACAGGTGGTATATTTACTCGTATCTCCACTGGAAATAAGGACTTCTTGCTGTAGGGAGGAAAGGGTGGGAAATCTCATTACAATTTAGTTGAATGCCAACATTTGTATCTAGAGCTGTAAAAAGGCTCATGATAGCTCTCATATCACACCAGGAACCAGGAACCATTGTGGATTTTATGTTCACTGTCTTCATTCCTAAGTGATTGGGGCTAATATCTTTAGAAAGCTTGCCTCTTGCAATTAATGTGGGGAAAAATTACATTGACCTAAATGGATGAGTTCTCTTCTAGGCAGAACTGCTGCCATTGAATTTATTTGGCCACAATTCTCCTAGAATATTTTCTTCCACAAAAATGCTCCATCCCTTCGCGATTTCTGCGAGTGTGTGTTGCTGAGAACAATCTGTCTCTGATTTTATTTGTAATGTGAAATTCCAAAGAGCTCTAAGAAATATTTCATCATCATTTTTCTTACATACAATGTTGACAGCTCAGAAAACGACAGTTTGCAAAAAGTTGGCACAAAATTTTGTTGAAATTTTGGAAAGGTCAAATTGATTGTATGAGACTATATGCATTCTCCAGCTTGATAGCTTTTTTTTTCAGTTATCAGTTCACAATCTTTCAGGGGTGAAAGTGAATGTAACACTCCTGTCCAGTAGACAAAAGTGGAACTAGCTGTTGTCACACTTACCTTTTCTCTCTCCATCATGTTTCAACTGGAATTTTTTGTAGGCATTGAGATAATTTCCTTTGTGAGCCTTGCTAAGTTTCTACATGTTGAATTTCAATTTTTCATTAATGAGACTTGCACTGAAATCCTAAACATGCCTAATGAGAAATAAGTGTCACTGGTTCCAGGGTGACATTTCCCCCAGGTTTTATTTGCATAGGATTTCCATCTCAGTTCTGCTTTAGTCCCTCTTAGAGTGCTTATGTTGACATTAGATAATTAGTGTGAAATAGCAAAATAATAAGATGTTGTAGTGCAAATGAGCACATTCACTTTACTAGGCAGAATATCCTAAGATCCACATTGGGGGAATATTTTATGACACTCAACAAAAATGCCATGGATGACTGTGCAAGCCTTTGAGTTCTCCCTAACTCTATCAAGCTAGACCAGGCATGGGCAAACTTCAGCCCTCCAGTTGTTTTGTACTTCAACTCCCATAATTCCTAACAGCCTATTGGCTGTTAGGAATTGTGGGATTTGAAGTCCAAAAGGCCAAAGCTTGCCCATGCCTGAGCTAGATGGTATACACAAAATGGGAGTAGGGGTGGGAGTACTTATTAAGCCAGGTTTTTAGGCCATGAGGTCTGTAGACGTTTTGTATGTAAAAGGCTACAAAACCCACAACTCAGTTGTGTGTTATGTGGAAAAAAATACTTCCTTTGGACAATTTTAAATGGGTAATAATCAAGTAGTTTATCAAGTGAGAGATATTCAAGTGGTTTAGTAAAGTAGTCTTTACCCCAGTGAACTGTTGTTTTTTTAACAGCCCATCCAATTTTATATGGGGTATCTGTCCAGCATGGATTACTTCTGAAGTTGCATATCTTAATTATCCAGGTTACCGCTGGCGGCACGTCCAAACTGATTAAAAAGTCCTAGATTGCATTCCTCTTTCTGATTTTAAAATAAACTGATCTGGGAGTTAGTGTAAAACATATCTGATCTTACTGGGAGCTGACATAAAATATCCTGGGAATAAACTTTTATGGACCTCCAAAATCAAATTGGAAAGGAAATAAACAAAATATGGGATTTTCTGGTCTTTTTAATCAACCTGGATGCACCTGGTACTTTTATCCAGTAGTTAAAAATGCTAGAAAAAATGCTGCTAGTTGTATGTTCTTATTCAGCTATGATGCTCACTCAGCCTAACCTTCCCAAATAATTGGTGGGGATTGAAGAAAGCCCATTATGTCATCCTGAGTTCCTTGGAGGAAGAATGGGCTGTGAATGTAAAAAATGAATAAATAAATGTAGCAATGTGAATATACTTACAGGGAATTTCATGAATGCTCTCATGGGCCGCTGAGTTTATTCTTTAAGTCACTTGTTTCATTTATCAGAAGACTTAGATCTGTGAATGAGACATGTCTTATTCCTCCATTGGATTCAGTACAGATGGACTACGAATAACTAATTTGAAATCCCAATGAACCACAGCGAGAGGACAGGTACGCTGTTTCAAATCCAGTCCAAGTGAAGTGTTACACAAGCCCTTCATGACTTAATATTAGTGAATGAAGTCAAATTGAATCTGCTCCTAATGCCATTTTGGTGCCTCTTTACCATTTTGTAAATGACGTAAATCTTGCTTGCAGCTATAACTGTAGCTACCACAATGGAAGTTTTAGGTTATGTTTGCTCAACATCGTTTCTCTTGTGAATTTAGGAACTTCTGGTGCCTCTGGTTTCCAAATTAACAGGAACATTTCATGTTTTGTAAAACTTTGATATTATTATATAGGACAAATATTAGCATGACATTGTGGGTAACACAATTGCATATTGCCTTAATCTCTCTGGGTATGGTCGAGCCAGAGTTAAGCATTTTTAAACCCCATTGGTTTAAACTTGAGAGCTTTAAACACTTAATTTAGTATTGATTCATAAAAATGCTTAATGTTGGCTGATTCGCGCTATCTTCCTGGTTCTGTGAATGTATTCATTTTCTCTGCTGTACTGCACCCACATGTGTATGCACCACATGCACACACGTACTGTAACATCTTCTGTGTAATTTTCCAACTAGAAAGCTCACTTGATCTGATTTTTTTCATTTCCCCCCTCAACCTTTGCTTCCAGAAAAAAAAACTGTCACAACTTACAGTAGTTTTCCCCATAATTTTGCTCCATCCAATCCATCTAATATATCCCATATAATGATGTATAAGTCTAGAAATTTTCATCAAAAACAAAACCTCAAAAACTTAAGTTGATGTAGCCACAGGTCAGTGTGAGTATTGTAGCTCAACTCTTATAAAAATTGAAATATCTTTTTCTCTGAATGGAGGTAAGAGTTTAGTCTGTACTTGGATAGTGGTTCTCAACCTGTGCATCCCCAGGTGTTTTGGCCTACAACTCCCAGAAATCCCAGCCAGTTTACCATCTGTTAGGATTTCTGGGAGTTGAAAGCCAAAACATCTGGGGACACACAGGTTGAGAACCACTGTTCTAGGAGAACCTAAAAGAAGCACCAACTTTCTCTGTGCCGTGATGCCACTTCTGGCCTTTTTGAAAGCCTGGATAGGAAAATGGCAGCTGGCCCCCAATGTGATTAATGTGCTTTCCTACCTCTTCAGAATGACCCTCAACGTGTCCATGGGTCATTTCAAAATGAATAATTTTGATGCCCACGCCTGCCCTCAACTGATACATGAGGTCGACTTATACGAGAGTATAAATGGTCCTTGCCTTCCGCTTTGCACCAATATTTTCTATTAATTTAGAGTAGCCTCAGAAAAGTGTAGACTGAGTCTTTCGAAGTCAATAACCTTATTTAATCACCTGTGGAGAAGATCTAGTGTGTTACTGAAATAAAAATGTCATGTCTTTGTGGTATCAAAGTCTTTAAGAAATGACGCTTGCATCTTCTGATAGTTAGGTAAACATAACTTAGAATTCCCTGCTGTCAACTTTTAATGTACTCCAGATGTATCAGACTATAACCCTCATCACTCCTAGCTGTTTGATGATAATGGGATGTGTAGTCAACACAGCTGGAGAGCACTATATGTGGATGTTTCTGATTTAGAATGCAGAACAAAGTTACTGGGACACTCAACAAAAGTAGAGGCCAGTATGCCACCGTAGAGGGCAGTTATTTCCAGTGAAAACATTGTGAGCCCTCAAGAACAATGTAAATATAGAAAAGGGCTTTTTCTTTTCCTGGAGATGGGCAGGAATCCCTTGAATAAGATAAGTTCAAGTGGCTACATTCTTGTTCACAGAGAAGAAAACTCACAAAAATAATTAATTGAAATGAATGTAGTTTTTGTATTTGGGAGATATCCTGAGTGTTCTGTTTCATTGCTCTTAATGGAAGACAATGTGTCTTTCCACCCAGGAGATCAAAGCACCAAATCTGTAGTAGTGTACACACTGTTAATGGGTATATTCAAATGTAGTCATGCCAGCTGCAAATACTGAGCATCCTGTGTTCACTCTTCTGTGGAATTTGCTGCTCTAACTAGTCCCAGTTCAGATATATTTTGAAAATTAATCCAGACCTTTAAGATTAGTCCTTCAAAACAATTGCATTAAGTATACTTAGCCACATGGTGTGAAAACTACCATTGCTTTGAGTGAGCAAATGAATTTTCTCATTTCCAACCAAATATCTGCTTCTGATTTTTCCAATTTTAAAGGCTTGGAGAAGAATGTTTTTGAAGAAAAAT